ATATATATATATATATATATATATATATATATATATATATATATAAATTTGTATCATATTACTGTTTATGTTACTGTTTTTGTGAGCATGTTACTATTCATGTTACTTTTTTTTTAGCATGTTACTACTGTTATTTTTTCAAATATTAATACTCAATATTATTATTTTTTTTGTTTTGAATATTATTATTTTTTTGTGTTTCAATGTTATTACTTTTTTTGTGTTTAAATGATACTATTTTTTGTGTTTGAATTATACTATTTTTTTTGTATAATTTTACTATTTTTTTAATGTTTCTATGTGTGTGTGTGTGTGCCTATATATATATGAGAGAGAGAAATAAATAGTCATATTCTATATATGGACATAGATATGAGAGAGAATTTTAATATTAGTCCAACTCCTAAAATTTAGGAGTTGTTAGTTTTCAAAATTTTTGTAATTAAACATAACTACTAGGGGTATTTTGGACAATAAAGCTTAAAATGGACTTAATATTGAACAAATCTTTCTTGATGGACTTATTTTCAAATAAGTCTACAAAGGGGACCGGCCTCCAAATTTTTCAATTTATTATGTAGGCATTCAACTTGTAGGTATGAGATACGTTTTCAACTTGTAGGTGCGCTAAACTAAATGATAATGATCTAGTGTGAATATTCATCCAGATCAGGCAAAAGCTTTAGGGCATGAGACCCAAGCAAGTTTTTTTTTTTTTTTTAGATATGTCAGTTAATTTTATTTTTGAAAAGTCAAAAGTTTCACGAAGAAACTCTAAACACGTCCCAAATCATTGTTAGAAAAGATTTCAAACATAACCTAGTTTAAATGATAAAACTGAAGAAATATAAGTTAATCTCAATACTCATTGATCCCCGGGAGAGAAAAAGAAAAATAGAAAGGAATCCGACCATGTATGTCCTTTTTAATTATTGAGATCTCGTGATTAATTAATGTAAAGGTTGTGATATTTTCTTGTCATGTCTTATTTGTTCTTTTGACTCACTTATCTTGTTGTAAAGCTTCGTTTGAAGTATCAATGAGTTTTTGGCCCAATAATACTCCTTACTTTGTGAAAGTTTTATCTATGCACAGGGTATATAACATTGGTGCCACAACAAAATCTTCTTGAAGCCACTCTTGTTTTATGTTCTGTTGTTTACATTCAATTGACTTGTGTTTGCTGATAAATGTGATTGATCAAAAGAGATAAGTGTGATTGATCGAAGAGGGAGAAATGAGATATTGAAAGATACTAAAGTTAATTTTATATGACATGCTTAAAATCCACTATGAAATCAAGAATGAAAAGGGTGAGGCATTTGGTGTTGATGACATCTTTTGGTATTGATTTTGTCAAACAAATACAAGCTAGGCATGAACAGCTTGTATTTGCATGTAACACCTACTCTTTGCCCCTGCAAGCTTGGCTAGTGCCACTGTTACGGGTCATTTTTCAACAACCAAATGGCGAAAAATAAAAAATAAAATTGCACTTGTTTGTTTCGAACCTATAAAAACTTTTGATATCAAAAAATTAGGCATTTTGACTTGGGGAATTGAATAATAAGCGGCTTCTCCTTGGTCTTAAAAGTCTCCAACTACATTGGGGAGAAATAAGTGATACTCTTTTTCTACCTTTGAGATCACATGTTTGTCTATTGGCGAGTGTAACACCGGATGAATGTAGATTAATATCAATATTTTTCATTTACTTAACATAAATAAATATGTTCATTCACTTACTATCATATCGTTTAAAAGAGTCGATCCTAAGCACAAATAGAAGAGGGATATATAACCTGACAACAAGAGTAAAACCTTTATCAAACCTCTCATGGATACAAATTCTTGACTGTATTTTGTCTTTGGATACCAAGTAACCTGTTATATCAAGTGGCCTGCAATCATATCCATGAAGCATAAACAAAAAGCAGTGTTGTTGTAAGTGAAATTGAGTTACTAAAGAGTACACAGTTAAATCTAGATATTAACTTCTTCTTTTTTTGTTAACTATAAATAGAGATTAAGGAAAAGAAAGTACAAAAGATATAATCAATCATCTAAACTCTCTATCTGCTCAGAGGCCATACAAAATAGTTCTTTACCTAGTTTGTGAAAAAGATTAAAAGTCATTTAATGGCGATTTTTACAGATAGTTCGTAGTTGGCCTTCCTTTGCCAAGTTAAAAGTGACGTGATGTGTAGTCAACTTTCTAGTGGAAAGGCAGATTTTAAACTTACTTACAACTTACTTGGCTCTAGAGAGAGCTTCCTGAGTCTAACCAATTTGACCACCAAATCGTTTGGAATGTATTTAGAAGCAAAGTGACTTTGAAAAATTTCTGTTATTTCGTTTGGAATGTTCTTTCAAATTGATCAAGACTATCTTATTTCTGGCCGCCTCTCTGTAGTACCAGTTGTTACTTCAGACTCACTGGCTGGCCTCTCCATTTCCTTCATTAGCTTCTTCCCTTTTGTCTTCTATGCTGCTGTGTACTGATTTTATTTGGCTTTGGAAACCAACGCACAATTTAGAATTAGTGTCCTTCTGTAGCACTGCAAATCTGTTTGTTGGTCGCTCGCTCACAATGCCATGATGGTGATTGATCTTCAAGCATAGCTTTCCTCACCTCTGATGTAGGGAGATATGCCTACTGCTTGTCTATGTTCTCCAAAGTTGTTTCGATGTCTTGTTCCTTGAGGACCGACAGACTTTCTGCATTTGCAAATGGAAAGGTTTCTTCAGCTTTTTTCCTCCAATTCCTAAACCGAGTTATGATTTGGTGGCTTAAAATTGGGCATAGTGACTGGTTTTCCCACGTCATAATCTCACTTTAAGATTTCTTGTGTTGCACAAGAAGCCATGGACCAAAGTCTCTTTCCTGGTAGTTATGGTGTCCTTGAATCTGCTCTTGCTGCCGCTGTATCTCTTGTATTTGTTGCTGTGGCACAAGATTCAACACCTACATTTATCATGTAATTCGGCAAGTTGAATTTGGTTATTTTCCCATCGTCATCTTGCCTTAAGATGAAAAAAAAAAGAGAAGAGAAATCGTTAAATATCGAAGTTCATTAAATTAGATGCCACCCTGTGAATAACTGCATCCGCTTCTCACTGGCGGTAACCCCAAAAATATGGTTGGATTCTTAATGGAGTAAGGTTTAACTTCAAGGTAATAAAAAAGTATACTGGGTTGGGTTAAACTGCACATGCAACCAAGCGGTGTAGAGTTAACTTTGGGGTGCAGTGTATTCTTGGACGTCTTAAGTTCAACTCTCATTGTTGTCTTTTGGGCTTACCCGATGCCTGTGGTTGGCCCTTCCAGTGGTGTATTCAAAGGGCTTCAAGAAGCTCAACATCGTCAAAAGAAAAAAATAAGTACACCCAATGTTGGTTAGAACTGGACCAGCTTTTATCCGTGTTGGATATGGAGTAGAATCTCCATCCAAAAGTATACCAATTCACAATACAAAATCAAGAGCATTTTGGTAGAAGATTTTGAAATCAAACTGTCACGAAATATTCACCTTTCATGGCTAGAATTAAACTGTTCGTCCTTAAGATGTATGTCTACTGCACTACAAGTTCCAGAGTCATCATGAACACGATAATTTTCATCATCTTGGGTGTGATTTGTATCCATCTTCATAAAATGAAAGCCCATTATATACCTGTACTCTCCGGTGCCAAGACAACGAGAGCAATTACTGAGTCCACTTCCACCGCAGGTCCTGCACCTGCAAAAGTTAATGGGAGACATTAAGGAAGCACCAATAGATTCTTAAAATAATAAGTAAAAGATTTTGAGACTTCACCATTTTGGCCATTCCCCTTTTGGAAGCATTGGTAAATCAACATGATTTGTCCTTCCTGTAATATTAAAAAAAAAAATAGAATAAAATTCCAAAGGGGCAACAATAAGGTGGAAGAAAAACGAATTAAAGTCCATATATGTGGTTAAACACTCGAATCTAATCAAGAACCAAAACTAATGAAATTCTAACGTTGCGTTTGGTACATGGGTTTAAGGGTTGGAATGAAATATGCATTCTTTGGTAATGCTGATTCCTATGTTTGGTTGACAGGAATTGAAATTCATTCCCATTCCTAAAGAATAGTTAATCCCACAAATTTTGGGATTAGGCATTACCAAATCTACCCTAGTATTTCCCATTCCATTCCAATTCAAGAATGAGCCATTCTGCCAAAAAAAAAACGCGATCGTCTGCTCCTCCTCTGATCTCTGTTCTTTTTCTCACATCTTCTCTTCTTCCTCACAAATGCCATGGCACTCCATCTCTCTTCTCATCCCCTCCCAGGGCAAGCCACATCATCTCGATGCTTCAACATCTGATCAAACTGGGTTTTACTTATGATCGAACCGACATCACCTTGAGACAAGGCTCCTACGATAAACAAGGGTACGCATAGGCTTTCTCCCTCTCCCTCATCTCTCTGTGAAGCAACGGTACGCATAGGTGGCCAGGAACTGCCTATATGAGCTCAAATCCGACCAATGCAGGTAATTACTTGTTAAATTTAATCAGCAATTCTCAAATCCAACCTAGAATTTTTAGGTTTTAGGATTTTTTTGTCGTTTTAAATGTGAATCTATCTCTTAAAAACACTTTGCTTCAATATTTCAAATCGATTTTTTACTTTCTAATTCGAGATATGGCAGTAGATCTTTATGCATATGAAACCAATCACACCTATAATTGGTGAAACGTTTTACAATACCAACTAGGTGTTTGTCAAAATGCCTGACAGAAAGTGGCCTTCTTTTTGCCTTCATGAGTGGTTATTGATGTGGCCTCCAATTTGTTTGAAATGTTGATTGGAGCATCTGTTAGTTTATACTCCATCAGGCTATATGATTCAACTTGAGCTTCTGCCATCAATTGAAGCAGAGCTTCTGCCATTTTTTTGTCCTGAGGCTGGTTAATTTGAAGCTGAATTCAGATGGTGCTTCAAGAGGTAATCCAGGTGCTACAGGAGGTGGTAAGGTAGTGAGAAATGAGTTGGGGAGACTGGTTTTAGCAGCAGCATACTTTTATGGTGACTGTTCTAATACGGTAGCTGAATTTAGGGCCTTATTTGATGGCCTTCAGTTGCTTAAAAGCTATGGTTTGTGGGGATATGGGGTTGAGGTTGATTGTGATTCTCTAGTCTTGGTGAATGCTATTTTGGGAAAATGTGAGTGTGCCTGGCCTCTTCGAAATTTGCTTAGGCAGATTAACGATTTGTTGAGCTGTATGAATTTTAAGATAAGACATGTGTTCAGAGAATTTTGGTGTATGATGATAAGGGTTAAGGTTGCTGTTTTATTTGGGTGTGTAGGGATGGTGGTTGTCTGTTTTTTGCTTATGGCAGAGTTGAATGGCTTCTGGAAGTTTAGCAGGGTGTCATGTAAGGCTTGTCTGGAAGGCTGTCTGCTGATTTTTGCTGGAAGAATAGGAAAAGGTGGAGCTTCTGCTATTGTGCTCCCAACTGGTTTTTTTGGTAATTTTGTTTCTTGTTTAGTTGTTGCTGTAATTGGGAATACATTATGTTTTTTCCTTTTATTTCCTTCTTGTAATTACAGCTTTTGTGAATAAATAAAATTTTTCTTTTGTTAAAAAAAAAAAAGAAAGAAACAAAGTTGAACCTGTTCAGTGGTGGGATGTGTGTAGCAGAGCACATTGGCTTTGTGGTTGTGAATCTGTGTCCCTTGCACCGGTGTGATAGATGGAGGGATTGTTCCTTAAGCGGTATGTGCAGCCAAGGTATTTATGATGGCTGCATACGACTGCCAATATGGAGTTTTAAATGATTTTGAGAGAAATGTAGATGTATGATTGCAGAGAAATATTGTTTTTTGGGGCTAGCATATGATTCAGTATTATTTTTGGGAACGTAGACCGAATATAATTCTTTCAAATTGGATGATAACTATAACTCACAAAGCTAGTGGCACAATAGGTTTTATTTTTATTATTATGGATGTTCATGTAAATCAAATTATTTCTGTTGATTCCATGTATGAAAGTTTAATTTATATATTAATTTATATTTATTAAAATTTAGAGTGGAATAAATTTATGATTTTTTTTNTGAGAAATGAGTTGGGGAGACTGGTTTTAGCAGCAGCATACTTTTATGGTGACTGTTCTAATACGGTAGCTGAATTTAGGGCCTTATTTGATGGCCTTCAGTAAAAGCTATGGTTTGTGGGGATATGGGGTTGAGGTTGATTGTGATTCTCTAGTCTTGGTGAATGCTATTTTGGGAAAATGTGAGTGTGCCTAGCCTCTTCGAAATTTGCTTAGGCAGATTAAGGATTTGTTGAGCTGTATGAATTTTAAGATAAGACATGTGTTCAGAGAATTTTAATGTATGATGATAAGGGTTAAGGTTGCTGTTTTATTTGGGTGTGTAGGGATGGTGGTTGTCTGATTTTTGCTTATGGCAGAGTTGAATGGCTTCTGGAAGTTTAGCAGGGTGTCATGTAAGGCTTGTCTGGAAGGCTGTCTGCTGATTTTTGCTGGAAGAATAGGAAAAGGTGGAGCTTCTGCTATTGTGCTCCCAACTGGTTTTTTTGGTAATTTTGTTTCTTGTTTAGTTGTTGCTGTAATTGGGAATACATTATGTTTTTTCCTTTTATTTCCTTCTTGTAATTACAGCTTTTGTGAATAAATAAAATTTTTCTTTTGTTAAAAAAAAAAAAGAAAGAAAGAAAGTTGAACCTGTTCAGTGGTGGGATGTGTGTAGCAGAGCACATTGGCTTTGTGGTTGTGAATCTGTGTCCCTTGCACCGGTGTGATAGATGGAGGGATTGTTCCTTAAGCGGTATGTGCAGCCAAGGTATTTATGATGGCTGCATACGACTGCCAATATGGAGTTTTAAATGATTTTGAGAGAAATGTAGATGTATGATTGCAGAGAAATATTGTTTTTTGGGGCTAGCATATGATTCAGTATTATTTTTGGGAACGTAGACCGAATATAATTCTTTCAAATTGGATGATAACTATAACTCACAAAGCTAGTGGCACAATAGGTTTTATTTTTATTATTATGGATGTTCATGTAAATCAAATTATTTCTGTTGATTCCATGTATGAAAGTTTAATTTATATATTAATTTATATTTATTAAAATTTAGAGTGGAATAAATTTATGATTTTTTTTAGGTATTTTGTTTTTTTGGTATGATTTTATATCTTGTGTGTACCATTGAATGTTTAGGTGATTTAATAAATAAAAATCTATCTTTGAAAAAAAATATCGTTTTTTCTAAAAAAATATTTCTTCATACAAGTTAGCCTTATACTAAGTAAATTATTTTTACCTGGGAAAATATTTTTCTCGATATTTTTGCCAACGAACTAAAATAGGAGTGTGGGAATTATACATATTTATTTTGTTTGTCAAGTTTTAAAATTAATAGGTATGCTTATTGTAAGGAAGAATGTATGTTTAAGTTAAAATTTTATAGGTAAAAAAAAATTATTTTGTTTAAATTTCATTCTATTTAAAAAATTTTTCAATGGATTCTCATTTTTTCTAATTATAATTTTTTTTACACAACTTTTAAANTAAAATTTTATAGGTAAAAAAAAATTATTTTGTTTAAATTTCATTCTATTTAAATTTTTTTTCAATGGATTCTCATTTTTTCTAATTATAATTTTTTTTACACAACTTTTAAAGGCAATCGCAATCATAAAAAAAAAAATTGTTATTAATTGTTTTTAGTCATTATGTATGTTTTGGTTAAAGTTGATTCCATTCCAATGAAAATTTTTTTTTATCCAAACATAGAAATGGAATGAACATTCCATTCCAGCACTTAATCCTAAACAGCTGTCAAACATTGGAATGGTAATCCATATTCCATTCCATTCCCCAAACTCATTCCATTCCTACTGAAAAGCATTACCGCGTACCAAACGCAGCGTAANACTATGTATGTTTTGGTTAAAGTTGATTCCATTCCAGCACTTAATCCTAAACAGCTATCGAACATTGGAATGGTAATCCATATTCCATTCCATTCCCAAACTCATTCCATTCCTACTGAAAAGCATTACCGCGTACCAAACGCAGCGTAAGTCTCTAACTTTGAACCTTAGACAAATATAAAATCAGGGAATAATCTAAAGCAAGAAGTTTGAGTAGGTCTGACAAGAGCCCAAGTCCTAACACAGTGCCATTGACTGTGAAGTGTGAACCTAAGCCATTGCCAACTCATTACAGAATATTCAATACACCTTTTTATTTTTATTTTTATTTTTTGGACTCTAAAATATTAGACAAACCTCAAGCCTGGTTCTTTCAGATCAGATTGGGCATTGAAAAATTGGACTTGACATAGGCAAAGCTGGAGCATATAACTGTTTGCCATGTATTGGAAGCAACCAGAATATCAAAAAAGATTCAGAATTCCATATACTTCGAACAGTTTGAGGCCACTCCTAGTAACATTTTAATATTTAATGTCAAATCATGCTAGAAATCCACATTAATAGATGCAGTGGTTGTCTGAATACCTTATAAACCAATCCTTTTATTTTGACTAATAAACATTTAAACTTGTTGATGACTTTGTCTAACATAAGCACACTTGTGTAGTCAGCTAAGGAAATCAAAAGGTGGGGAAGGAGGAGATAATGGTATCATGATTCAAACAAATACAACTTTGGGAAAAAGCCAAAACTAATAAACAATTGTTGAAGTAATCTCATTAGCATAGCAC